AATGATTCTAGTTCTAGGTATAGTGTTAGTTCTAGTTCTGCACTTGCACTGTCACTAGAACTAACACTATACCTAGAACTAGAATCATTTGGGTTTAGCCGCACGTCTCTAAAGACGGCTAAACCCAAATGATTCTAGTTCTAGATATTGTGTTAGTTCTACATAGTAACAGTGCTAGTGTAAAACTAGAACTAACACTAGACCTAGAACTAGAAAGTTAGGGGTTTAGCCGTGTGTCTCTTAAGACGGCTAAACCCGAATGATTCTGGTTGTAGGTTTAATGCTAGTTCTAACGCTAGTGTTAGTTGGAGTTTACTAAAGTTTACTTAGGTTGCTAGTGTTTTTCGAGCATTTTCAGACGAGTAGACCCAAACAGTTTCTCCCAATCAGATGAATGAGGTGGTTTCATTAGCAGAAATTGGCATAAAATAAATCCGCGGTTAGTTTCTGAGTTGAAGTTTACGCAGCATCAATACNACTATACCTAGAACTAGAATCATTTGGGTTTAGCCGCACGTCTCTAAAGACGGCTAAACCCAAATGATTCTAGTTCTAGGTATAGTGTTAGTTCTACATTGTAACAGTGCTAGTGTAAAAGTAGAACTAACACTAGACCTAGAACTAGCAACATTCTGATTTAGCCGTACGTCGCTTAAGACGGCTAAACCCGAATGATTCTAGTTGTAGGTTTAATGCTAGTGTTAGTTGGAGTTTACTAGGGTTTACTTAGGTTGCTAGTGTTTTTCGAGCATTTTCAGACGAGTAGACCCAAACAGTTTCTCCCAATCAGATGAATGAGGTGGTTTCATTAGCAGAAATTGGCATAAAATAAATCCGCGGTTAGTTTCTGAGTTGAAGTTTACGCAGCAACAATACAAAAGTTGAAAATGTGTATTGAAGAAGTGTGTCCAGATGGTTTTCCACACCATATACAATTTCGTCAATACCTTTTTGAACGATGTAATTACTCAATACAATTTTGTCATCACCTCCGCAATGGCCGGTAAAATCAATTACTCTCGTATTGTGTATCGCTATCCCGACGTGATTGTACGATATTCGCTGTTCTATGTCGATATTGACGAAATTATGGCATTTACAGCAAATTTATGTTTTTTTGTTACATTAAATTCTGCTTTAAACTTTTCCTTCCTTGGATAGTGATTTCTCATCTTATGAGATTGATTCAATATACTGTGAGTTTTAGTATCAATAAAATGCAAAGTACCAAGTTTTTTATCCAATTTTCATGGAACACCTGTATACATTTCACTGTAATATTTCATTTAATTTCCTTCTCTCCAAAAACCAAATAATAAAAAAACTCTCTTACGACTATATTAGAACGAAAGCCTTACCCCTCTTTATTTTTAATGTTACGGGATCTGAAGAGAGACGCAGACATTTTAAAACTGCAAGCAAAACTCATATTAATCCATAAAAAAGTCGAGGATTCCCCGATACACGCGATTGTTCTTAACGTGGATTAATCAAAAAATTTAATCAAAAATTAAAAACAAAACGTATTGATTAATGAAATGAATTGATTTTTTTGTATGTACATACACACAAGCGTTTTAATAAATTATGTTTTGGTTTTTAGAAATAAATACATAAATAAGCTTATTAATAAGTGTGTTAGATTATTTTAATGTTTTTTTGTTAAATAAAAGTAACCCAATAGAAACTCACCTTCTTTTATACTGAACCTATTGACATCAGTTTCGTTGACTTTTAAGATTACGTCGCCCACTTCTACCTGAAATTTAATAAACAAGATTTTATTGTACGATTCTTTGTAGTTTCCTCTTGAAAGTGTTGACATTAAAATAGATGGCGTTAAAAAATATATCTTCGAGGTGATATTGAACCGTAAAATATCTAACGTGCGGCGAAGGTCGTAAAAACGTTAGAAATATCGATTGCGGCAGCAAACGAGAGAAAACGGTCATGTTTGTTTTTCGGTTACTACTTTTCTGGGTTTTGAACTAAATTTATAGACCATTTTTCACTTTTGCCTACCACATCTAACACTACCTCAACCAGAGCAAATATTAAATAAGAACTTTTTGAGAAATGATGGTTTAAAATTTGTGTTGATAAATTTATTAACTCGGCTTTAAATTTATCTCGTACTAAATAAAGGTCAAAATTTGATGTTATTATTAGAAAATGTTTTTAACCGGCGGATATATTATTGAGACAATCGAATTTATTTTGTGTTGAGAACTTCGACACTAACATTTTCATCTAATGGATCCAATAAAATTTGTTTATTTGAGGAGTTACGTTTAAGTCATTAGTAATCGTAAAAACGTCGTTCAGATGAACTTTGCCGCTAAAACGTGGACAAACTAAACATGAAGTTATCATTTTGTTTATGACGAAGTTGTGTAATCTAGCAATGTTATAACCTTGAAGATTTTTTTGATTGGTAAAAAAATTGTCCTTTAATTTCTTTCGAAAGTAAGTGGTGATTCATTTAAGAAATATTTTTAAAAGTAGAAGAATTTTAGGTTGCATTTAAACAAATCTAATCTTATCTATTTCTTAAAGCCGAAAAATAACATCATAATCGAAACGTACAAAAAAACAGTCTACCTGGTTAAACTAAAAAATATAGACGACCTTACCACGAAATAAATCTGCCAAGTTAGCAGAAGAAGAAGAAGAAGAAAGTTATCCTTAGGCGAGCGTTACACAACCGACGACATTCTCGCCATCGTTCACTTCCCTTTCGTTAGTTCGTTCGATTTGGATTCTTTGTTCGAAATTTTCACCACAAAACAGAATCCATGTCGTAATTTATAAATTAAAGACATACAAAGGCAACATAATCAAAACACACATATATATAGAAACATTACAAGATATTCAGAGACAAACACTGCGAAAGGAGCGGACGAAAATGGTAAGAATCCGGCGAACTCTGGAATGCGACTGACTGGCTGTGGCTGTATCCGAGCGCGGACGATGTGGGTCACACCCAGACCAAGAAGTGTGGTCATAGACTGGTCGCTGCTGGTCCGACGTCCGACGGTTTGCGTTCGGTTCCTTCGTTCTTCACGTCTCAACTCACTTCTATCCCCCTTTTCGTTTCGGTAACCACTTCTTCTGCTTCTTCAGTCATCACCGATATTGTTTTATTAGTATTTGTTCAATTTCTACGGTTTTTGCTAAAAACATGAAACACACTCTTCATACAATATATATTAACTAAACCGAGAAGAAACCTACAATTGGAACATCACTTGACTAAGCAACATTTTGTCATTTTTAGAAAAAATTTTGACATATTTGTCAACTTCATAAAAAATCCTTTAAAATGAGTCCAAACTCGACATATTTAACTTTAATATTAATGGAAATACAATTACTTCCGGTTTGAAACGTCAATTTTGACATATTTGTCATCTTCATTAAAAACCCTTTAAAATGAGTCCAAAGATGACGCACTTATCTCAAAAAACAAAAAAGTTACAATAAAAAAACATTAAACCCGAAGTTAGCAACAATGAGGATAGCAATTTAATTTTTAAATATTAATACCAACTTTAATTTTTGATTTTTTTTTATTATATTTTTGTTTTTGTGACAAATGAACTCATTTTAAAGGATTTTTCTTGACTATTAAAAACATGTCAAACTTGACGTTGACATTCTTAACCGGAAGTTGACCATAACTTCATTAATATTGATGATAAATATGTCGTGTTTGTACTCATTTTAAAGGATTTTTAATGAAGATTACAAATATGTCAAAATTGAGGTTGACATGTTAAACCTGAAGTTAGTTATCATACAGGGTGTTTCGGTGACTCGGGGAACAAATTTAACCGTATATACTATAGTGAAAATTATGACGATTCATGTAAAAAAAAAAATAGTAAAAGTCTTCAAATTTCAAAGATACAGGCCATAAAAGTTAGGAAATTTTAACACATTTTTCCAAATATCTTAAACACTATTTACAGTAAAGCGTTGAAATTTGGTACAGTGTAAATCAATGTCATGTAAAATCGTTAGACAATTTATGAATTGGATCGGTCATCGGGAACAATGCTATACAGGATGTTCCTAAACTTTGTTTGTTCAGAACTTTTTTATTCTATCATAACCGTACATTTATGTTTGCAGTTTCTAATAACAAATTTAGTTTAGAAACTTTTACTACTCTTAGATAATATTGATAAAAGTCACCGTTTTCGTGTTAAATGCAAAAATGTTGGGTTCCGATTTCATTAATAGCACTAAAACAAAAAAGAAATCCAAGTTTTTGAACATTTTCTTTAGTATTTTTTATTACTTGTCTTGTTATTTTATGTATGTTTTTATTATTCCTGTTAGTGTTGCCTTTCGACCCATCAGCCTAACGTCATTTCTGCTGAAAACCCTTGAAAAAGTTCTGGAACGGTATATCCGTACGGTGCCATTGGTATCTGGTCCACTGAGTCGCCACCAGTATGCTTATCAAGCGGGAAAATCAGCAGAATTGGCTCTACACAACTTAGTTGGTAGAGTATCCAGGACGCTGCAGGATAAAGAAATCTTGGTTTGTGCGTTTCTGGATATAGAGGGAGCGTTCAACAACGCAATACCACAATCTCTTGAAAGAGCTGCTCTTGACAGGGGAGTGGAAGCAACTATAGCGGGTTGGATCCGCAATATGCTAGATAGTAGAATAGTTTCTACTTCACTCCACGGTGATACGATACGCTTCAGGCCGGGAGGTGGCTGCCCGCAGGGAGGGGTGTTATCTCCCCTGCTTTGGTCCCTCCTAGTTGACGATCTGATTGCGATAGTCGAAGCCGTTGGTGTGGAAATACAAGCTTATGCTGATGACATTGTCGTTATGGTCAAAGGAACCTGTTTGCCGAGGATATCTAAAGTCCTCCAGGTGACCCTAGATACCATTTGCGCTTGGTGTAAGGGAGAGAAC